AACAACAGACAACTTAGGAGGATTTTAAGTTCTAGGGCATCCTGGTCTTCACAATGATTGAGACCAGTCTGCACTAAGTAGCAAGAAACCCCTCCTCCCCCAAAAAGGGGGCCAATGGGATGACTCAGTCGGTAAAGGTACCTGTCACAAACCCGACAACCTCAGTTTGATCCCTGGGACCCACATAGTAGAAGTAGAGTCCCAGGTTATTCTTTGACCTTCACACATGCTGTGACATGTGAATATATGTAGTCACACATGCACAAACAGAAAAAAACTGAGACATCACTTTAAAGAAACTGCCTCATGATGTAAACAGAGAAAAAGGATCTACTTCTTATTTTAAATATTGGTACAGCTGTATAATGGTACAATATTCCTTCAGGTAACACAAAAATTGTCTTTTTTTAAAATCTGAAGTGCTTACAGCCTTATCCAGGCCAAGCAAGAACTCTACCACTGAGCTCCACATCCAACCAAGTCTTATTTTTCCTTTTTTTGGGACAGGGTCTCTATTTTCCAGGGTAGCCTTGAACTCATTACAGTAGAGGATGACCCTGAACTCCAGATCTTGCCTCCACTTGATTACAGGCCTACAACAACCAAGCTGGGTTTTTCTTAAGTCTCTTAGTTCTTTTCTTTTTTTTTTGGTCTTTTTGAGACAGGATATCCCTGTAGCCCCAGCTGTCCTGGAAATATGTAGACCAGGCTGGCCTTGAACTCACAGAGCTCTACCTGCCTCTGCCTCCCGGGTGCTGGGATTAAAGGCATGCGCCACCACGCCCGGCCCATGTCTCTTACTTCTTAAGGAAAGGTCATGACACAATATATGTATGAAAGGTTGAGAGAAAAATGCCAAGAAGTAGAATTCCCAATTTCTTATGCTTTCCTGTATTGTCCTTTTATTGTACTGCACATTTACATTTTTAAAAAATCTTAAGTATTGGGGCTGGAGAGATGGCTCAGCAGTTAAGAACACTGTTCTTGCAGAAGACCCAGGTTCAAATCCCAGCACCCACATGGCAGCTATCAACTGTCTGTAACTCCAGTTCCAGGGGATCCGACAGCCTTTTCTGACCTCTGCAGGCATTACACTTACCTATATGCAGGCATAACATTCATACACATAAAATAAAAAATAATAAAATATTTAAAAAAAATCTTCAGTATTTCTAAGGCTGCAAGTAATTAATGTTAAACCTGAAATATGCACCATTCCCACTAAAATGACTTAACACACTCTCCTACCTACTACTTTTAAATTAAATTGGTGAATGGCCTATTTTTAAGTTAGAGGAAATGCACAGAACTTCTAATTCTAAGCCTAACTTAAACTTAGTAAATTACTACTCAATACTGAAAAGACTAAAGGGCTAATACAATAACACAAGTGCTCTTAATATTCCAATTAAACTCAAGTAATTGCTGAGATGGCTCAGCACACTTGCTGCTCTTCCAGAACTCATCAGTTCCCAGCACCCACATGGGCAGCTCACAACTGCCTGTACTTCAAAACAGATCCAAAGAGAAAAATCAGTGGGCCAATGAACTACTTTACTAGACTAACATTTAGCAGGAATTCAAAGAACTTGTTCTGAACCTAACTGAACTGAGTATTATCTACTCAGTTCTGTTCTATTTAGGGAGAGAAATACCAATCTGATCAGTTTTAAGCATGTTCAACTGCAAAATCCAGACTAAGGCACTTTACAAATCAAATAACTGTAACCATGTAGTGATATTTAGTTTACCTAATCAATTTGACATTAAAAAAATAAAAATCAGCTAGAGCCAGGCATCTTAGTTTTGTCTTTAATTCCAGCAATTGGGAGGCGGAGGCAGTGGATCTGTTAGTTCAAGGCCAGCTATGGATACAGTGAAATCCTTTCTCAAAAAACAAACAAACAAACAAAATCACTTAAGAGATGGTTCAGCAGTTAAGAGCTCATACTGCTCTTACAGGGGAACATTGGGTGGTTCGCACTCCCCTTAACTCTAGCTCTAAGAATCCACTCCCTCTGGCCTCCATCGGCACCTGCACTCATGTGAACATATCTACACAGACAATTAAGATTTGAGTTTGATCTTCCGCACTACCAAGGTTTTTCCTGGCTAGTCCAATCAATACAATGAAATCCCTGGTTCTAAAACACACACACACATTCTCTCTCTCTCTTTCTCTCTGCAGTCAACTAGCTAATAGAACAACATCTTACTATGTTTTTGTGAGGTGGCAGGGTAAATGTCCCTTCAAGCTCACATAATAATCACAAACAAGATATCTTGGTGACTATTTTCTATAGTAGGCTTTAAGAGAGCAGATGGCACAGAAAATGACACCAAAATCACCTAACTATTCTGGCAGAATTTTACATAATTAAACATGTCTTAAGAAACTAATAAGCATTTCTGTTTTGCTCTACTTGCTAATATTCAGCTCCTAAACTTTTACTTCCAACAGAAAGCTGCAGAGCAAGTCAAGATAGGTAATTTTTTAAAATATATATTATTTTTATTTTATGTGCATGAGTGTATTGCCTGCATGTATGAGTGCACTCATGTCGTGTAATGCTGTGGAGGTCAGAAGAGGGCTTCAGATCCCCTGGAACTGGAGTTAAGGATGGTTTGTAGCCACCATGTGGGTGCTGGGAATCGAACCTGGGTCCTCTGCAAGAGCAGTCAGTGCCCTTAACCACTTAGCCATCTCTCCAGCCCCAAGATAGGTAATCTTTAACTGCTAGGATTCCTACTCCTAAAGCTCTTATCACCAGGTATGATGGCCCATGCCTTTAGTTCCAGCACTGGGGAAGCAGGGTCAAGCAGGTCTCTCAGAGGCAAGTAGATATCTGAGACTGAGGCCAGCATGGTGTATGTAGCAACTTCCAGGCCAGCTGTGGCTACAGGAAGTCTCAAAACAAAACAAAACAAAAGCTTCCATAAATCAATCCCATTCCCTTCTATTTTTGTTTATGAGTATTTTGCCTGCATGTGTGTAAGTACATCCATGTCCTGCAATACTTATAAAGGCCAGAAAAGGGGGATGGATTCCCTGGAACAGAACTTGCAGATGGTTAACCATGTAGGTTCTGGGAACCAAACCTTAAGTCTTCTGCAAGAGCAGCTAGTCCTCTTAACCACTGGGCCATCTCTCTAGCCTCTCCATTCTTTTTTAAAAGGAGGGGAAACAAAAAGTACTATTTACTGTACTAAATGTCTTTCAGTTTAGGCAGGTTAGATACTTTCCTTAAAAGTCACAATTAACAGCTGTTATTCTAAGTTGATGATTTTTTCTAGCCAGAATATGGCAATTGCTTCATTCTTACAACCCGATATGCTCTCTCTTTCCTGTAGATAAAAGTCACTGCCTAAATGAGCCAGTGCTAAAAAAAATTTTGGCCTGTGCAATGTACCACACATGGGGTGTGGCTTTCTGTTACGGAAAGAGAGAAGGTAAAAGGAGTGCAAAGATTGAAAACTATTGTTTTCAAAAGCAAATTCATGACCACCACACACTAGACCTCATTATTTGCTCCTAGGAATTTAAATTAGTTATGCTATTTAGGGGATTAAGATACAAAGAAACCGTATTCTAAGAAAAATTATTAACATGGAGGGGCTGGGTATGGTGCCACATCTTTAATCCTAGCACTCAGGAAGCAGACAGAGGCAAGTGATCTCTGAGAGTTCAAGGACAGAGTGGTTTATAAGTGAGTTCCAGGCCAGCTAGAGTTGCATAGTGAGACCTTATCCATTTTAGGGGGATGGGGAAGTGGCATACAGCATCTCCCTGTGGCCCCAGGTGACCTAGAACTTAAGAAATCCACCTGCTTCTGCCTCCTGAGTGGTGGGATTAAAGGTACGCACCAACATGCTTGGTGCATAGTATCACATCTTAAATTTAAAAAAAAAAAAAAATTTATTTTTAATTAACCTGGAACTTCAACTGTATCTGGTTCCTTTTTTATGTCAGAGACTAGTCTCAGGTAATCTTCTTGCCTCAGACTCTCCAAGTAACTGGTTTTTTACATGACTTTAAGGTTATGAAAGTATAGATTCCAAAAGGCCTGGTCTTTACAATGCTGACAAATCAAAATCTCTGCCAGTGTTTGCCTAAATTGCTTTCTAGTAACCATTCAGCACCCATTACTCCTTTTTTGACATTCCATCTTTTTGGACTCCTCAATACACTGCTGCTATTCATCTTAAACAAATTAGAACAATGAAATTTTTGCCAATAAAGCCACAGGTATGGTGGCATATACCCATAATCCCAGCACTTGGGCAACAGAGGACCAGGATTCAAGGTCAGCTTGAGACCCTGTATTTATCACTAAAATAAATTCATTAGTGTTTTTCAAATACTAATGAGCACAGTATGGTAGCATGTGTATGTAATCCCAGCACTTGGGAGGAAAAAGGAATAAGAATTCAAAGCCAGTCTCAATTATATAGTAAAAAATTGAGGCCAGTCTGAGCTGTTTCAAAAAACTAAAAATAGGGGCTAGAGAGATGACTCAGCAGTTAAGAGTACTGACTGCTCTTCAGAGGACCCTGGTTCGATTCCCAGCACCCACATGGTGGCTACAAACCGTCCTTAACTCCAGTTCCAGGAGAACCCAAAACCTTCTTCTGACCTCTGCAGCATTACACAACACGGGTGTACTCACATACACGTAGGCAATACACTCAAACACATTAAAAAAAAGTCTTAAAAACTAAAAATAAACCATAATATAAAGTCATCCTTTTAAGCAAGTGCCCCATTTCCACAAACCTTTTTTTCCAACTAGAGGTGGTCAACTACATCACCTATGGTTTGAAAACTGAACATCCCTTCTGAATAAAACTATATTGTTTCCAAAGACCCTTACTTTGATCTAACTACTTATCCAATTGTTATCAACTAAGCTCTAAGAATTAAAAAATGTACAATTACTACTATAGACTAGTATGTATATACCAGCCCATTAGATCTTTAAAAAAAGAAGCAAATGAGTTACCTTTAGTGTGATATACAATAGCAGCCCTCAGGTCAAAAGAACCCCAGTTATCATTCCTTTCTAGGCCTCTCTGGTATCTCTGTTCTTTGGCGGAGCCTAACAAAGTGTTCGTAGGAGAGGCCAGAGGATTTTGATTTTCTATCTCGTAGTCCTTTGAGAGAAACACTAAAGCACCTTGACTACTGGTGTCTGCTTTTTGCAGGTCACCTATATGACTGGGTTCCAAGGATAAGGCTCCACTCTCAGTAGTCCCAGATTTTAGAATACTACCCAGAACTTGAGGACTAGTCCGTTTTTCCAGCTCATAAGCCTTAGGAAACACAGGATGCTCAGTTCCTGAGGGGATTATTTCAGCACCCTGTGAAACCAAAGTGGCAGGATATTCTCCTTGAAATGTCACTTCCATCACTTTATGATCTGATGACTTCCCAATAACAGTCTCAGGGCCAGCGCTGGGCTCATTTATAAATGATAAACCCCACTGATTCTGGAAGATATCCCCCAGGTTTTGCTGATCTGTCTGAGAGGGCAGATCTACTTGTGCTGTGCTTAACAGCACAGTTTGCATATTTGAAGGGTAGATAAAAAGGCTAGACTTAATTTGTTCAACAGCTGCTGAATTCAGGTTCATGTCCTGGAGAACTGAATCAGTCCCAGTAGAGATGGGTGTTAAAGTATTAGCAGTGGTAGTTAGCAGTGGCTGAACCCCAGATGGGTACACATTTCCATCAGTTCCTGCTAAAACAGGCCCATTAGAAAAGCTGGCAGAAGTAACAGATTTCAGAGCTGACATAGGGACCTGGGATAACCGACTTGAAGACTGGGTCTGAGTTTCCCCAGTAGACGATGAAGATGAGGATGAAGATGGTGACACAGAAGAATTCTGTACAGTTTTGTTGAGGTTTTCCTTAACTTTGCTTGCATAACTTATTTTAGGAACTATTTTAGCACTGCTATTGTCCACTGGAAAAACCGGGGGTGGTTTAAACAGGGTCCATGAGTCCTCTTTGGAAGCAGCAGCTGAGGCATGCTTTCCTTTAGGCCGATCATCAAACTTTTTACTGCTCACACCAGATTTAATATCTGAGCTTTTACGAAGCATATCACCCACAGCAGGTTTTCCACGACTTGTTCCTCCAGATCCAGTTTCATACTTCCAAATGGGCTTTGAACCATCTACTCGATTTCCCTTTTGTTCACTATAGTCAGGCTTTAAAGTTTCAAGTCCCTGTTTTAATGATGGGACACTAGTCTCTTGTTGCATTTTGTCCTGCATTAAATTAAGGTTTTCACAACCCTTGGCACTATTGCGCCTAGCTTTCCTTTTTTTAGGAGTAGTATATCCACTCTCAGATCCACTACCATCATTATCTGCTCCTTTGCCCATATAACCATTAGTAATATAGCCTGAATTATTTGTTATAACACCATTTGGAATTGCTACAGCATCGGTCTTATCTACAGCCTGGTTCTCCCCAGATTTATTTTCATAAGACTTCCCATTCTTTTTGTCCATACTGTTTTTCTGAATGAAATTCTTGGTTTTAATGCCTGCTTTTCCAAAGGTGCTGGTCTTTACAGTCTGCTTCAGGCTAGTGTCTACAACTTGCTGGTTGCCATTGAGGACCCTAGAAATAGGGTTGGTAGCTTCATCAGAACCAAGGGTCTTTGAAGATATTTCTCTTTCTCCAGCATTACCATTTATTTCACCATAGCCTACAGAAAGAAAAAAAAAAAGATTTAAAAAAAAAAAAATCACATTTAAATTACAGTAGTACCTAATATTGAAGAATGCCAGATACTATGCTACCAGCTATAGGTTTTCTTTCATACCTCTATGAAAAAAAACTTGTAGGCCCATTCTACACATTATGTCATGGAATCCACTGTGAGACAGAGGCAGAACTATGATATGACTCAAATCTGTCATCTACTGACCAGCAGACAGAACTAACTTTAGAAAGAATAGGACCTCTTAAGCAGCATGCCACAGCACTCTATCTAAACAAAACCAAATACATATTATGGCCATGAAACTGTTATAAAATCTTCTTTACAATTAAGAGCTATACAAGCCAGGTATGGGACCTGACTGTAATCTCAGCACACTGAAGACTGAGGCAAGATAACTGCACTGGTACAGCCAGCCTAGGATACACTGTGAAACCTTGCCTCAAAACAAACAAATAAATTAGAACAAGTACTACCCTTTGGGCAAAACCCAAGTCTTTGGATACAGCAAATATTAAAAGGAAATTAAGGCCAGGGCTGTAGGTCAGATGTACAACCTTTGCCTAACATATGAACCCTGAGTTCAATTTCTTGAATTATCCGCCCCCTAAAAGGAAATTAAATATTTCAATGAAACCATAACTGGCTAGTTGCCAATGCATCTATCAGA